ACTAAATAACTAAATTCGCTCCGAAGAAAGCGGCCATCTTGAATCCAGCGACGAATAGTAATGACGTAATTTTTATTATTTATTAATAACGTAACGTTCATTTTGTGGCTAACGATCCAAGATCCGACACAAATCGAAGCCGAAACCTAGAGTCGCTGCGGGCTGTGCCCCAGCGACTAATTATTGATTTTCATATTTTGGAATGTATCGATATAGTTTTATGTTATGTGGCTTTCAACAGGCTTAAAATTTAAGAGGCTGTCTCCGTAAACACCTCCAGGTCAATATGTGGCTCAAAAATAGATTTCTCTCATACTCTAGTATTTTGAAGATCTATCCTTGGGAACAACTAAAATCGATGTCATTTTACTCAAATTTGCTTTAAATTATTTTTGGGGGCGATTGATGTTCGATCGATGGTAACCAACTTGATACTCCGAATGAAGGCCATTTATCGACATATTTTCAGCGCTATTTTTTAAATCAAATTCATACCTAAATTTCAAAATTTTTGCTCAGAAATATAGACTTATCCTTCTATTTTCGCGGGTGATACGACTTAGATCATTATTCTTTGGTATAAAATAGAAAACAGCGCAGTTATTGACCCTCCTGAACGGATAAAGGATATCGTCTCAAAATATGTCAACTTCGAAAGCTTATTTCAAAATCGTGGCACTTGATTTGCACATGACTTTAACTTTTCTATAAACTACTAACATTAGTCAACACAAATCGCCAATAATATCTTTCTGCTCTACCATTTGACAAAAATGACAAGCGCGCAAACTTTGTAAAATTTGAAAATGTGTTGAAATCGAGCATACTTTATTGGTAAACATAATTATTGATATTAACAGATAAAATCACCTTACACTACACTGAATGAAGCTTCATTATGTAAATATATGTCTTTCATCATTATTCTTTGGTTTGGCGCTTGAATCAAATTGTTTGAGTACAGTTTGGCTTCACGGATAGAGTCATTCAATGCCAGTGTGTCCAGTGTCTTCTGCGCGCCTCAATGCCACGAGTCCTGATTGTGACATACTATACAATCTTCGCTCTGTTCGCTTTGTTTACCTCTTTAACAAATACCTTTACCTGTTTAACAAATAACAATGTTCAATGAAATTGGAAAACTCAGAATTAGTCATACTACAGACAGAATTTTCATCGTTTTTAAACTGTTTTATTAAAGTTTCGTTAGAATGTACGAATTAAATCTCGGGGAAAACCCCGGGCCCTGGCCGAAAGAAATCAGAAATGTATACTCGCTGTGATGTCAAATGTCAATATTTCGTTAGTTTCGCTCAGTATAGTTTTCTAGCAACTGAATTGTCTCTAGGTTTAGAAACAATTATCAATGAAACTAGAATTCAAGTAAGTCACGGTTCTGTATAAAAAATCAACTTTTTCAGGCCGACCCTGGGTCACTTTGCTCAAGGCTATGCTTCAAGAATTTACATTATTTCTTATTGTATAAAAATATGCGAATATTTTGATATAATACAAAACAATTCAGCGCAAACAGCTGTAACCCATTTGAACGTCTCAGTTATTTAATCAATGTTATTCCTTTTTTTCAGTAACAATTAGAAAGGTTCTGAAAATTAGAATTAATTTATATTCTTCTTTCCGACAAGCTTTAAAGGGTGACAAATTTGCAAGTGATAACTAATGTCATTCTTACACGCCAGCAACTTCGAAGAACGGTCTACTGTGTCTCGGAATTTTCCAACCTCAGAAGTAGAAAAGGAACATTTCTACATTATTGTTTACCGTCATTCTCATCTGTCAACATAAAATCTACTGTTTGTCGAAATCGTTTAAGGCCCTGTCACACTATTGCGGATCGTACTAGCGTATGCCAGCGTATGAAAAATATCACTCATACGCCGGTATACGCTGACATACGCTAGGGGTACGCTAGGCATAGGTTGTATACGTTTCAAGCACGGTCGCATACGGTGGCATACGGCGAGGCAGAAAATTTTTTTAAGCATGTTCAAAAATTTTGTGCGTATCGGACGTATGCTTTATACGATAAGCATACTCTAGGCACACGCTCAATACGCTAGAGGCACGCCAGATGTACGGTACTCATACGCTGGCATTGCAAAGGATTTTTGTGCGTATGAAAATTATTTCATTGATTTTCATACGCTTCTCATACGTTTCTTTACCTAAAGGCCCTGTCACACTATTGCGTATCGTACTAGCGTATGCCAGTGTATGAAAAATAGCACTCATACGCCGGTATACGCTGACATACGCTAGGGGTACGCTAGGCATAGGTTATATACGTTTCAAGCACGGTCGCATACGGTTGCATACGCTGGCATACGCCGAGGCAGAAATTTTTTTTAAGCATGTTCAAAAATTTTGTGTGTATTGGACGTATGCTTTATAAGATAAGCATACTTTAGGCACACGCTGAATACGCTAGAGGTACGCCAGATGTACGGTACTCACACGCTGGCATTTCAAAGAGGGCCCCCTATACTTTTTGCGTGAAGCGTGATGGGCTTATTTTACTTAGCCGTGAAACGTGATCGATGATTTTCTTAATCCGTGATTCGTGATGGTATGACTTCCAATCTTTTTACATGCACGTGAAGGAAAGATTCGATTTAACCGTGACCCGTGAATGGCAGATAGAAATATTCGTGATTCGTGAATCCTCTGTTTTGTGACCTTTTGTGTGATCAGCTTTCCAAAGAATAAATACGGTTTGTTGCTGTTTTTTGAAGTACTTGATGTACAGAAGCCTGTTTTCGATATAGTTGGAGGTTTGAAAGCATGTCGAGGTAAGTACAGACGAGTACAATGATTCTACAATTAAGGAAGACATCCTATAATAATTCGTGAACTTTGTTTTATTTTTACGTGAATCGTGATCGCTTCGATTTTTCCGTGAACGTGAAGGAATTTTTTCAATTTTTCGTGACTCGTGAAAAGGCAAAATATTTTTACGTGAAAGCATTTTGTGAAGAGGTATAGGGGGCCCTCTTCAAAGGATTTTTGTGCGTATGAAAATGATTTCATTGATTTTCATACGGTTCTCATACGTTTCTCTCATACGCAATAGTGTGACAGGGCCTTAACGTTGCATGATCACAAATTGCGGCTGTAGTAGAAGTAGAGCACCATTATTGTAAACACAAAAACCTCGTGCAATACTGTCTAAGACTACTATTTAATTCAATACAAAGAAAGGGAAATCAGAGAGCAACGAAACATTTCATCGTCATTTGATTGACATGTTTACGCTCAGCGAGTACATTTCTTTCGGTTAGGAGTTATCCCCGAGATTAATTCGTACATTCTATAAAACGAAACTTTATATAACAGTTTAAGGTAAACAAACCAATGAAAGTTATGTCTGTAGTATGACTAATTCTGAATTTTCTAATTTCTTTGAGACATTTTATTTACAGGAGGTAAACAAAGCGAACAGAGCGAAGTTCGTATATGTCACAATCAGGACTGATGCCGTCATGGCATTGAGGCGCGCAGAATTTGAACACACTGGACACACTGGCATTGAATGACTATCCTTGGAGCCAAACTGTACAGTCAAACAATTTCATTCGAGTACAAAACCAAAGAATAATGATGAAAGACATATATTTACATAATCAAGCTTCATTCAGTGTAGTGTAAGGTGATTTTATCTGTTAATATCAATAATTATGTTTACCGATAAAGTATGCTCGATTTCGACACATTTTCAAATTTTACAAAGTTTGCGCGCTTGTCATTTTTGTCAAATGGTAGAACAGAAAAATATTATTGGCGATTTGCGTTGACTAATGTTAGTAGTTTATAGAAAAGTTAAAGTCATGTGCCAATCAAGTGCCACGATTTTGTAATAAGCTTTCGAAGTTGACATATTTTGAGACGATATCCTTTATCCGTTCAGGAGGGTCAATAACTGCGCTGTTTTCTATTTTATACCAAAGAATAATGATCTAAGTCATATCGCCCGCGAAAATAGAAGGATAAGTCTATATTTCTGAGCAAAAATTTTGAAATTTAGGTATGAATTCGATTTTAAAAATAGCGCTGAAAATATGTCGATATTTGGCCTTCATTCGGAGTATCAAGTTGGTTACCAGTCGATCGAACATCAATCGCCCCCAAAAATAATTTAAAGGAAATTTGAGTAAAATGACATCGATTTTAATTGTTCCCAAGGATAGATCTTCAAAATACTAGAGTATGAGAGAAATCTATTTTTGAGCCCCATACTGACCTGGAGGTTTTTACGGAGACAGCCTCTTAAGAATGCACCAGAAGGTTTGACTCCTCTTAAGTGGATCAGATTTCTGGATGACATTTTTGCTATATGGTGCCACGGTGAAGCATCTCCAATTAGATTCCTTGAATATATGAACACACTACACATGACTATCAAGTTCGAATTTCAATACTCTACTAAGACTGTACATTTTCTGGACACACGAATTTATGTCAACGAACAAAACAAACTGGAATCAGACGTATACATCAAACCAACAGACAAGACAATGTTACTACATAACACCTCTTTTCACCCAAACGCATGTAAACAAGGCATAATCTACAGCCAGGCGCTACGCTACAGACGAATCATCACAGATGGCGCAATACTACGAAACCAACTAGAAAAACTTAAAATTATTCTAATGACTAGAGGATACAAAACTGATACAATCGACAATGCCTTTGGGAAAGCTACACAACACACACAAAAGCAACTACTTTACAATAACAACAACAAACCAAACAAAACGGAAACTCGACCAACTCTTAGCATTCCTTTCAATACTAAGTATACTAACTCAACACATATTAGCCAAATCCTAAAAAAACACTGGTACCTAATAGAAAACGACCCAACGTTAAAAATATTATGGCCAAATATACCTATGGTCGCATACAAACGCAATAAAAACATTAAAGAAATGCTAGTAAGCAGCAAACTAAAAAAGACTGGAAACAAATCCATGTTTATGTGTTTCTTATGTTTATGTTTTTTGTTGGTTGCTTTTTTTTGTTGTTTTTTGTTTTTCTTCAATGCATGTGCCTGGTCACAATGAAATTCCCTCTCTCACCAACTAGATCTGGGGGCGGACAGACAATTCTCACACTTATGACTAAAAAATTTTTTTTACACATTCCTTGGTTATCAGTTTAGCCCACGGCACATCACACACTAATTATACATACAAACTGATACCTAATTAACACCTGACAAACATGCACGCCATCAAACCACATGACGTCAACTATTCAAGAACAACTCACTAAAACTGGACTTCAGGGGCCCAACACCCATGCATTCTTGTACACGCACATTTAGCGAACAGACAAAAAATTTTCTTTCAAAAAATAAAAGGAAAACGCACAGGGAATTATATTAATCAACTCCAACAGTAGAATGGCTGGACGATGCGGTTTACCACCAAATAATTCATTCAGTAAGTTTTTTATATTAAGATAGTTAAATTTAGATTTTCCTGTGTTCCATTTCTATTCCCGCATCAATTTTTCATTGTTTTATTGTTTTCTATCATTTTACTACTCACCATTTCTCCATCACTCATTTTGAACAACACCACTCTCACTGCCATTTTTACGCCAACAACCAACAAAACATCGACTCCCATCCCTAAAGCCCCTCCTGATGAAGGTCATGAGACCGAAACGCGTCGAGGGCCAAACAAATGAAAAAGCACAATTAACACAACTATATATACTGTATCTTTCATATGATATATACCATCCGCTAACATACCTCACAAGCACGGTCAACCCAAGACTCTGTGAGGTTTGCTATAGCCCCAATACACAGTCACGTCATTATTCAATGTTCCATTTAAAATCACAACATCTCTCCAATACCATCCATTTATCTCCTTGATGTTATTTTTTATTTTTTGTTGAACCAATGGGATGGTTTGTCCAAGGCCATTCTATATGCCGTTCGACCCATGTTCGCCTTTCTCTGTAGTCATTTCTAATGATATTGACCCAATATAATCCATACCACGTTGAAACGCGAAACTGGCTCGGACTGCTTCGAACTGCTTTGGACAATCAATCCTTATTATATATATTATTTAAAAGTATTAATCTATATAGTATATACTACGTAATGACTGCCACACTGTGCAGTCATAAAAACTTTTTGCCAGATCCTGGACACCACGTGTTTGTTTTTTGGGGTTTTTTTTGTGTTTTGTAAACCATCTGGGATGATTATTCAAGGACATCTAATTAGGTTTACCCTTGTGGCATAACTAAATGTTCTGCCCGATTCTATAAGCCGTAATTTTGGTAGGTTGTGCAACATCTACCTATTCCACCTATCAATAGTTAGATACAGGCCACAAACTATAGGCCTCATTACATATTTCACGGCATGGTTTGCTTTCAAGACCCTGTGAGTATGTACATAATCTAACTGCATATATACTTAAATACTAAGGAATAAATCTACAATCCTCACATAGACGCACCTACATGTGATGGACAGATTACGGAAACAGTACACAGTGTAAAACAAGGACTAAGTTTACAATATCTCAATGCATGGTCTACTTTCCAGACCCTGTTAAGATAAATTTTAGAAAACCATTTATTCAAATAAGATACAGCATTACAGGAAAATTACACAACACAAAATCACAAGTCTTGTTACCAATTCTAAATTTGCAATATCGCAGTATGGTCAGATCCGACCCTGTGATAAGTTCATGTGCATCATCAAATTACACCTATCAATTACCAAGTAATAACTTTACATACAGCACATGCTAACTTCAGTGACGATATTTCTACAACGGATTTACATAAAAAGATACAAAATAACGCACGCATAATACGCGTGCACCTTTTATACAATATTTTACGGCATGGTCTACTTTCGGGACCCCGTTGAGAATGAAAGAGATCCATTAGATTAATAATGATTACAAGTAAACAGGTTCAAGATGCATGTGGAGGTCCTATTACCTATATTCCAGAATTAAAACATCAAATCACACATATCAATTACTAAGTAATAACTTTACATACATTAAATGCCAACGTCAATTACGATATTTCTACAATGGATTCACATATAAGGATATGCAACGCACTGTTATACACGTGCACCTCTTATACGGGGTCTCACGGCATGGTCTACTTTCAAGGCCCAGTTGAAAATATAAGAAATCCATTAGATAAATATGTGTGTATATGTGTGTATATGTGTATGTGTGTGTGTATGTATGTGTATATGTGTGTATATGTGTATATATATGTGAAATGAATATAAGTAAACCACAGGTCCAAGACACATGTAGAGGTCTTATTACCTATTCCAAAATTAAAATATGCAAGCCCTATTACCAATTCCTAATTTGCAATATCGCAGTATGGTCAAATCCGGCCCTGTGATAAATTCATGTGCATCATCAAATCACACCTATCAATTACCAAGTAATAACTTTACATACAATACACGCCAACTTCAATTACGATATTTCTACAATGGATTTACATAAAGATACACAAAACAACGCACGCATTACACGCGTGCACCTTTTACACAATATTTCACGGGATGGTCTATTTCAAGACCCCGTTGAAAATATAAGAAATCCATTGGATGAATAATGATTATAAAATATAAGCAAACCACAGGTCCAAGACGCATGTAGAGGTCCTATTACCTATCCCAAAATTCAAATACTGGGCCCTAAATTATTGCTTATAATAGTTCAATTCTTCCTTGCGTGATATATTATGATAAGTAATCATAGGC